TTGGGGTCATAAGGTCAAGGTCACTATGACCTTAAAACTGAAAACAGTTTCCGGAGCATAACTTAAGTTCCATTTGGCCCACAATATTCAAACTTCATAGGATGATTGTCCATATTGGGAAGAAGACCCCTATTGATTTTGGGGTCAAAGGTCAAGATCACTATGACCTTAAAACTGAAAACAGTTTCCGGAGCATAACTTAAGTTCCATTTGGCCCACAGTGTTCAAATTTCATAGGATGATTGTCCATATTGGGTAGAAGACCCCTATTGATTTTGGGGTCATAAGGTCAAAGGTCAAGGTCACTATGACCTTAAAACTGAAAAACAGTTTCCGGAGCATAACTTAAGTTCTATTTGGCCCACAGTGTTCAAACTTCATAGGATGATTGTCCATATTGGGTAGAAGACCCCTATTGATTTTGGGGTCACAAGGTCAAAGGTCAAGGTCACTATTACTTAGAAATTGAAAACAGTTTCTTGAGCATAACTTAAGTTCCATTTAGCCCACAATATTCAAACTTCATAGGATGATTGTCCATATTGGGTAGAAGACCCCTATTGATTTTGGGGTCACAAGGTCAAGGTCACTATTACCTTAAAACTGAAAACAGTTTTCGGAACATAACTTAAGTATCATTTGGCCTACTGTGTTTAAACTTCATAGTATGATTGTCCATATTGGGTAGAAGACCCCTAATGATTTTGGGGTCACAAGGTCAAAGGTCAAGGTCACATTTACCTTAGAATTGAAAACAGTTTCTGGGGCATAACTTAAAGTTCCATTTGGACCACAATATTGAAACTTCAAAGGAGGATTATATTTTAAAGAGGTAATACTTTATTTTACTCCCATGTCTTACAAATGCTTCATCTTTAAAAAAAAAAAAAAAATCACTTTCGGGCATATAATGCTCCGCCTAGCGGTGCTCTTGTTTGTATATATTTTCCCCTCCCTACCAGTGTCTAGAATCTTCTCCTTTTCCTAAAAAAAAACTCTGCTGAGTGAGGGGCCTGAACTTCAAAAAGCTTGTCTGCTCAATTGCTTAAGAATGCTTTGGTCAACAGTCTTCATATTTGGTATTGAGTTGGTTATGACTAAAGGATGACCTCTATTGATTTTGAGGTCAGTAGGTCAAAGCTCAAGGTCACAGGGGCCTGAACTTCAAAAAGCTTGTCCGCTCAATTGCTTAAGAATGCTTTGGTCAACAGTCTTCATATTTGATATTGAGGTTGGTTATGACTAGTAGATGACCTCTATTGATTTTGAGGTCACTAGGTCAGAAGGCCCTTGACTAAAGAAAGCTTAACCGCCTCTGTGGTCGAGGGGTTAGAGTTGATTACTTCTAATCCACTTCTCTGGCGTGGGTTCAATCCACAGGAGATGCTTTGGTAGTTTAGCGCGGAGGAAGGTAGTCTAGTACTGGTGTAACTCTCCAGGAAGGATGGTTTGGAAACTACCGCCTATATGACTAAAATACTGTGGGGAAAAGGCGTCAAATAAAACAAAGAAAAAACAAAGGAAAGCTTATCCACCAAATAACTTAAGAATCTTTTGATCCACAATCTTCATATTTGGCATGGCGGTTGATCAAAACCATTGAGTGACGCCTACAGATTTTGAAGGCTACTGGTCAAGGTCCAAGGGGCCTTTAGTTCTAAAAGCTTTTCCGCTCAATTGCATAAGAATACTTTGGTCAACAGTCTTCATATTTAGTATTGAGGTTGGTTATGACTATTGCATATCCCCTATTGATTTTTAAGTGACTGTGTCAAAGGTAAAGGTCACTTGGGCTTTTATTACAATAAGCTTGTCTGCTAAAATGCTTAAGAATGCCTGTCCACAGTGTATTGATTTTTACATTTTCACATTTGAAGCATATAATTATGTTCTTATACCGTATAAAGTACTTATTTCTGTGGTCTTAATATTCTGCAATTTTTTCTAAAATAAGGGGTTTTAAATTTCTACTTAACTTATTTCTGCTGTGTCATCATTCTCGCATTAATGATTTTCATTTTTGCATTTTAATAAAGATATTTATACAAAATTAACCGATACAAACAGACAACTTTCAAGATTTGTTGATGTAACATTTACATACAACTGATAATGTGTTTCGTTTTAAGGTATTACCACCCTAAGGGGCACTACAAGGAACTGAAAAATTTATATCATAGGTCAGATATAAAGTACACCTGTATGCAAAATTTAAACAAACTTTACCGTATTGAAATCGAGTTGTGGCCACTTTTATATACTGAAGCTAGGGTGTATGAGGGCCCTTTTTCAGAAATGAGTAACCTTAATAAATAATCTGCAATCATTCAAATGAGAAATGTTTTCCCATTAATTTTTGGTAAGAGACAAAAAGTACTATTCAGCTAACAATCAACATAAACAAAATTATGGTTTCTACTCAAAATTTATAAAATATGTATAAAAATGTTACCCTACCCCACCCATTTTTAACACGTGTCTGACCATTTTCCTACTTAGGGACCTAATTTAAAAAATTCTTAAAATTTACCCGAATGAGTGCCTGTTTTCAAAGTTTCCCTAAATTTTTAAAAAAGTATATTGGTTGATCTTGTAAAATATTAAATACTTTTACCGTCTAGTTTTGATTTTATTACACTTTGAAAATATCAGGTACCATATTTATTACTAGATTTAGCATTATTTAGCCAATAAATGCCCATATAAATTAAGTAATAAAAAGTAAACACTTTTTTCTACCCAAAAGGGATTGAGAGATACATAAATATTGTTAAAAGAAAAAAAAGTTGACCCATCTGAGGTTTGAACCCATGGCCCTCAGTTTATATGTAGTTAACAGTAGTTCTAGCCTATTTGAATACTCTTCAAAGCGGAGGTAAGGCTTCAGGATGGTAACACCTTAATCAACATGTATTGGTATATACACAATCATTAATAAATAAAAATCATCTATGTACAATGACAAAAATTATAATACTGTATGTGTATAAATCTGAAGTGTGAAAATTAAACAATGGCAAAATTGCACGTAGACACAAGATAGTGTACAAATACAAAAGGATATGTTTATTGCACCCGTCAAACTATTATAGTTATATACTATACATATTACCAAACATTAAGATTAAGGTGAGCGAAATTCATACAAACATGATAATTATTTAAACAAAAAGAACAGCAAAGTAACAATTTTTTATTCATGACAGATACATAAAGATATTTTTAATTCCAATCTACTAAATCAAATAACGATACATGTAAAATGTAATTATACAATACCGGTAGTTGACATATTCCGACAAATACATAGGGAAAGGCTTAATTTTTAGCTCGACTTTTCTATGAAAAGGGGAGCTATCCTACTCGCCCCGGCGTCGGCGTCGGCGTCACACCTTGGTTAAGTTTTTCGTACCACCCCACTTTATTTCAGAAGTATTACAAGTATGGCTTTGAAACTTACCATACTTGTTCACCATCATAACCTCCATCTACAGACAAGAGTACATAACTCTGTCAAGGTTTTTGACAGAATTATGGCCCTTTTTTGACTTAGAAAGTGTATTGAGCTTGGTTAAGTTTTTTGTACCACCTCACTTTATTTCAAAACCATTGGAGGTATTGCTTTGAAACTGACCATACTTGTTTACCATCACGACCTTCATCAACAGACAAGAGGACATAACTCTGTCAAGGTTTTTGACAGAATTATGCCCCTTTTTGACTTAGAAAATACATTGAATATGGGTAAAATCCACTTATTGCCTTAACCCTTTGAGATATTGCTTTGAAACTTTTAATGCTATTTCACATCATTACCCCCATCTGTACGCAAGAGAAGGTAACTCTGTCAAGGATTTGTTTTTTAAAAATTAAGGCCTTTTATCGACTTAGAATCTTGGTTAAGTTTTTAGTACCAGTCCACTTTTTGACTGAACTGTTTGAGATATTAATTTGAAAGTTGGAATACTTGTTTACAATCATGATTCCCAAACATGTCCAGGAGAAGGTAATTCTGTCAAAGATTTTATTTGAATTATGGCCCTTAACTGTCAATGTTTTGTATTATAGGCAAGCACTAAAAAACTTAAAAAATCTAAAAAAATTCATTCCTATCCACTTGTTCACTTTACCATAAATTATGTCATATAAACATTGCTGTAATATTCAAGGGTATCAAACAACTAGTAGTTCACTTTAAAAATACAGAGATTCTTGTATTGCCTTTTACTGCAAAAACTTTTTTTATTGGCAAGCAATAAAAAAGTCGAGCGCGCTGTCTTACGGACAGCTCTTGTTAAATCTGCAGTGTCGTTATGAACCGCAGAAATAAAGTTCCACAGAAAAAAGTACTTATACGGTATATTCATTATAAAACACCTCCAGACAAAACTGCATGAATGGGTGGGGGTATTTAAGTCATTCTGTAGCAGTTTCAGTTTTGAGGTCAGTCAGATTTAGCTGGGAGGTTGTCCTTGAGCTCTAAATGACTACTGTTGATTCTGACAAAGTGGTATGCGTGGGTATTCACACCATGACAGTGGCAATTCTAGTTAGATCCAAATATCCTGGAAATTAGTCAGAAAGGTTGTTTTGATGATTCCTAGACCAAGTTTGAATATGGGTCACCATTGTTCAAAAAAAAGCCCTTTTATGGAATAACCTTGTTATCACTCTAGAGGCAACTGTTTTGAATCAAATATCCTTGAAGTTGGTCAGGAAGGTTGTTAAGATGATTATAAAGTCAAGTTTGAATATGGGTCATCTGAGGTCAAAAACTACATGTAGGTCACACAGCCCAAATATGAAAAAATTATTGTTTGCACACCAGGGGCTACTACTGTTGCAATCAAATTTTCCTGGAATTGGTCTGAAAAGTTCTTTTGATGATGTCAAGGTCCAATATGGGTCACAATGTCTCAAAAAGCCCAAGTACATGTATAGACAAACATTGTAAAGACTCTAGGGGATACTGAAAATTATTTTATGCTATTTCTTTGTAGAGAGACACAGACAGGATTCAGCAAATGCTGTGTACCGTCACCTTGGATACCAGACATTAAAGTCACGGCTGGCTTCTTTCAAGAATTGGCCACCACACATAAAACAGACCCCTTTACAGTTAGCAGAAGCTGGATTTTATCACACAGGTGAAATATTTAAATTAAACTAAACTAGACCTTCATGTAAATCTGTCGACAAAATACTCTTACAGGAATGAATAAACATAATAAAACAAGCAGCTTTACAAAGTAATGTGTGGTTTGAAAAAAAAAGTAGAGGTATTGTTATAGTCGCGGCGGCGTTGCCATTGCCGTTGCTGTCCGAAAACTTGTACCTGGATCATAACTTCTTTATTTCTTGGTGTATTGTCTTCATACTTGGCCACAACAACACTTGGGACAAGACCTTTCAGTAGACCACACTTACCTTGACCTCCATCCATAAATGACCTTGACCTTCAAGGTTAAAAGTCCAAAGTTTGCTTGTTCATGCTGTTATTGGCTGTAACTTTGTTATTTTTGAATGGATTGTCTTCAAAGTTGCACATAATAATCTTCAAGGATATCCCTTAAAAATAACCAGACAGACCTTGACCTTCACTCATAAATGACCTTGACTTCAAGGTCAAATTATTGAAATTTTCATTTTTATTATGCCACCGCAGCATCTGCGATGCGGTGGCATATAGCGATTCACCTGTGTGTGTGTGCGTGTGTGTGTGTGTTTGTTTGTTTGTTTGTTTGTGTGTGTGTGTGTTATATAGATTATATAGTGAACTTAAAAAATCTTCTTGTGAAAAACCACTAGTCCAATTTCAACCAAACTTGGCAGGATTGATCCTTTGGTGAAGCGCTTCCAAAATTGTTCAAAGAATTTCATTCCATGCAGAAATCTGGTTGCCATTGCAACCAAAAGGAATTATAAGAATAAGTTAAAAAAATCTTCTTGTAAAGACCCAAAAGGCCTAGAGCTTAGGTATTTTGCATAAGGCATTGTCTGGTAGACCTCTACCAAGATTGTTCAAATTATAGTCCTGGGGTCAAAATCGGCCCCGCCCCGGGGGTCATTGATTTTCACTATATATAGATATAGTAAAAACTTAAAATACCTTCTTGTAAAGACCCAAAAGGCCTAGAGCTTAGATATTTTGCATAAGGCATTGTCTGGTAGACCCTGACCAAGATTGTTCAAATTATAGCCCTGGGGTCAAAATCGGCCCCGCCCCGGGGGTCTTTGATTTTCACTATATGTACATATAGTAAAAACTTAAAATACCTTCTTGTAAAGACTCAAAAGCCTAGAGCTTAGATATTTTGCATAAGGCATTGTCTGGTAGACCTCTACCCAGATTGTTCAAATTATAGACCTGGGATCAAAATCGGCCCTGGGGTCAAAATCGGCCCCGCCCCGGGGGTCTTTGATTTTCACTATATGTACATATAGTAAAAACTTAAAATACCTTCTTGTAAAGACTCAAAAGCCTAGAGCTTAGATATTTTGCATAAGGCATTGTCTGGTAGACCTCTACCCAGATTGTTCAAATTATAGCCCTGGGGTCAAAATCGGCCCCGGGTCAAAATCGGCCCCGCCCCGGGGGTCTTTGATTTTCACTATATGTACATATAATAAAAACTTAAAATACCTTCTTGTAAAGACTCAAAAGCCTAGAGCTTAGATATTTTGCATAAGGCATTGTCTGGTAGACCTCTACCCAGTTTGTTCAAATTATAGGCCTGGGATCAAAATCGGCCCCGCCCCGGAGGTCATTGGTTTTCCTAAAATGTATATAGTAAAAACTTATAGTAAAAACTTTAAAACAATTTCTTCTAGCAATTGACAAATGCTAGAGGTTAGATATTTTGCATGAAACATTGTGTAGTGAACCTTTAGCAAGATTGTTCAAATTATAGCCCTGGGGTCAAAATTGCCCCCGCACCGGGGGTCATGGCTTTTCAATATATACATATAGTAAAAAATCCAAAAATCTTATTGTCTGAAGGTACAAGGCTTAGAGCTTTAATATCTGTTAAATGATATCATCTATAGGTACTCTACCAAAGTTGTTCAAATTTTGCCTCTAGTGTCAAAATTAGCCCCGCCACAGGGGCTATAGGTTTTCCTTATATGTATATAGTAAAAACATAAAAAAATATCATCTTCTCTAAATTTACAAAGACTAGAGTTAAGATATTTTGCATGAAACATTATGTAGTGAACCTCTAGCAGGATTGTAAAAATTATAGCCCTGGGGTCAAAATTGGCCCCATCCCCAGGGGTCATTGATTTTCACTATGTACATATAGTAAAAAATTAAAAAATCTTCTTGTCTTAAGGTACAAGGCTTAGAGCTTTGATATTTGGTATATAGTATTATCTATTGGTCCTTTACTAAAGTTGTTTTAATTATGCCCCAAGTGTTAAAATTGCACTGCCCCAGAGGCGATAGTTTTCCTTATATGTATAAAGTAAAAACTTGAAAAATCCTCTTCTCAGAATTGAAAAATCCTCTTCTCTGAATTGACAAAGGCTAGAGGTTAAATATATGGCATGAGACTTTGCGAAGTGAACCTTTACCAAGATTGTTCAAATTATAGCCCTGGGGTCAAAATTGGTTCCGCCCCGGGGGTCATTAATTTTCATTATGTACATATTTTTGTCTGAAGGTACAAGGCATAGAGCTTTGATGTTTGCTATATTATATATATCATCTATAGGTCCTCTACCAAAGTTGTTCAAATTTTTCCCCTGGTGTTAAAATTGGCTGTGCCCGGGGGCAGTGATTCTCATTATGTACACATAGTAAAAACAGAAAATAAAACAAATGTTTTCTGAATGGGAGAAAGCTACAGCTTAGATATTTGACTTGAAATGTTGTTTGATGGACCTGTATCAAGATTGTTTTGAATTAAACCCTTGGGTCCAAAATTTTGCCTTGCCCAAGGGGACAGTGACCTACTTTCTTGTCCTTTGATGTACAGCAATGAAATTTTGACCATGTGCACAGTTTTAGTTGTAAAATTGAATTTTGATATCAGGTGACCTAGATTTTGATGATGTGACCTACTTTCTTGTCCTTTGATGTACAGCTATGAAATTTGAACCATGTGCACAGATTAAGATGTAAAGTGAACTTTGATATCAGCTGACCTAGATTTTGACAAAGTGTCTTACTGTGTTGTCCTTTGATGTAGTCATGAAATTTAGGCTGTTTGAAATATGACCTTCACCACTAAATTCACTAGACTTGAGTGCATTGATATATTCCTACTCTGATCTTTTATTGAGTTAACAACAGATTTAACCACTAATCTGATAAGAATTAGATAGGTCAGGGATCTATGCATTATGACAATCTACAAAATTGTATAGAAACAAACAAAATCTGTTCCTACACTACTATTTAGTGTTGTATTAATGCGGTGGCATAGCATTTTTCTCAAATGCAATCTTGTTTTTTTGGCTATTATTGGCTGTAACTTTGTTATTTATGAATGGATTGTCTTCAAACTTGAACATAATAATCTTCAGGGATATCCCTTAAAAAAACCAGACAGACCTTGACCTTCACTCATAAATGACCTTGACTTTGAAGGTCAAATTATTGAAATATTAATTTTGTTGGCCATTATTGGCTGTAACTTTGTTATTTTTGAATGGATTGTCTTGAAACTCGAACATAATAATCTTCAAGGAGAATTTTTAAAAATAACCAGACAGACCTTCACCTTCACTCATTAATGACATTGTCTTTGAAGGTCAAATTATTGAATTTTCATTGTTTTGGCTGTAACTGACTGTAACTTTGCTATCATTGAAGGGATCAACTTAATATTATAACAGAACATTCTTAAGGACCAGACCTTGTTGTTTATCAAACCCAAATTTGCTTGGGCTCTTTAATGACCTTGACCTTGAAGGTTAAAATACTGAATTTTCTCAGATTTGTGCATTAAATGACCATAATTATATATTTATTGGTGTGTGTATGTATATATATATATATATATATATATATATATATATCATCATCATCAACAACAACAACAACAAGTGTGTTTCTATTTATAGAATTGCATGTTTCTATTTATAGAATTGCGTGTTTCTATTTATAGAATTGCATGTTTATATTTATAGAAATTGCGTGTTTCTATTTATAGAATTGCGTGTTTCTATTTATAGAATTGCGTGTTTCTATTTATAGAATTGTGTATTTCTATTTATAGAATTGCGTGTTTCTATTTATAGAATTAGGTGTTACTATTTTTAGAAATTGCATGTTACTATTTATAGAAATTGCATGTTTCTATTTATAGAAATTGCGTGTTTCTATTTATAGAAATTGCGTGTTTCTATTTATAGAATTAGGTGTTACTATTTTTAGAAATTGCATGTTACTATTTATAGAAATTGCGTGTTTCTATTTATAGAAATTGCGTGTTTTTATTTATAGAAATGTGTGTTTCTATTTATAGAAATTGCGTGTTTTTATTTATAGAAATTGTGTTTCTATTTATAGAAATTGCATGTTTCTATTTATAGAATTGCGTGTTTCTATTCATATGTATATATATAAAATAGATAAACAAAACTAATGTGACAAGACAGACCAACTAAATTTATAAAAAGGAAATGTTAAGATATGTTCAAACCTTTCTATGTTAGCGTTTTGAAAAAGTAAAAAGTCGAGCGTTGCCCCCACCCTGCGGTGGCTCTTGTTTATTTGAATAACAATATAATAGATATAAACATTAATCTGATAATAAGAATTAGATAGGTCAGGGATCTATGCATTATGACAATCTTCAGTTGTTTAGAAACAAAAATAAATCTATTCCGACACTATTATTTAGTGTTGTATTAATGCGGTGGTATAGCATTTTTAGCTAACCTGAGGACAATGCCCTCAAGGTGAGCTTTTCTGATGGCCCGTCGTCCGTCTGTGCGTCAACAATTTCTTTACATAACTTCCACTCCTAAACCACTTGGCTAAATTTTTTGAAACTTTGCAGGGATGTTCCTTGCATGAAGCTCTACCAAAGTTGTTCAAAGAATTAAATTCAATAAAGAACTCTGGTTGCCATGGCAACTAAAAGATTCTTTTTTTTTTTTTCGAAATCTTAAAAAAATCTTCTTGTAAAAAACCACACGAGCTAGAGCTTAGATATTTGGCATGAATCATCTTCTAGTGAATGTCTACCAAGTTTGTTCAAATAAAAGCCCTAGGGTCAAAATTTGTCCCGCCCTGGGGGTCATTGATTTTTCTTCTATGTATATATTGAAAACTTAAAGAAATTTCTTGTAAAAAACTGAAAGAGCTAGAACTTAGATATTTGGCATGAAACATCTTCTAGTGAATGTCTACCAAGTTTGTTCAAATAAAAGCTCAAGAGTCCACATTGGGCCCGTCCTGGGGGTCAATGATTTTCCTTATATGTATATAGTGAAAACTTAAAAAAAAGATTCTTGTAAAAAACTGAAAGAGCTAGAACTTAGATATTTGGCATAAAACATCTTCTAGAGGATGTCTACCAAGTTTGTTCAAATAAAAGCCCTAGGGTCAAAATTGGCCCCGCCCCAGGGGTCATTGATTTTCCTTTCATGTATATAGTGAAAACTTAAAACAAATTCTTGTAAAAAACTGAAAGAGCTAGAACTGAGATATTTGTCATGAAACATCTTCTAGTGAATGTCTACCAAGATTGTTCAAATAAAAGCCCTTGGGTCAAAATTGGCCCAGTCCCAGGGGTCATTGATTTTCCTTACATGTATATAGTGAAAACTTAAAAAAAACTTCTTGTTAAAAACTGAAAGAGCTAGAACTTAGATATTTGGCATGAAATATCTTCTAGTGGTTGTCTACCAAGTTTGTTCAAATAAAAGCCCTATAGCCAAAATTGGCTCCGCCCCGGGGGTCATTGATTTTCCTTACATGTATATGGTGAAAACTTAACTTTCTTATTTTTGAAGGGATTTTGTAATTACTTGCCACAATTGTTCACAATAATGAGACAATGTGTCATGCCCAACAATCGGTCACCTACCTCCAAGGTCAAGGTCACACTTGGAGGTCAAAGATTAACATAGTCTGTTATAGGGTACATTTTGTGTCCGGTCCATAACTTTTTCATATATCAAAGGATTTTTAGCTCGACTTTTCTATGAAAAGGGGAGCTATCCTACTCGCCCCGGCGTCGGCGTCGGCGTTGGCGTCACACCTTGGTTAAGTTTTTCGTACCACCCCACTTTATTTCAGAAGTATTACAAGTATGGCTTTGAAACTTACCATACTTGTTCACCATCATAACCTCCATCTACAGACAAGAGTACATAACTCTGTCAAGGTTTTTGACAGAATTATGGCCCTTTTTTGACTTAGAAAGTGTATTGAGCTTGGTTAAGTTTTTTGTACCACCTCACTTTATTTCAAAACCATTGGAGGTATTGCTTTGAAACTGACCATACTTGTTTACCATCACGACCTTCATCAACAGACAAGAGGACATAACTCTGTCAAGGTTTTTGACAGAATTATGCCCCTTTTTGACTTAGAAAATACATTGAATATGGGTAAAATCCACTTATTGCCTTAACCCTTTGAGATATTGCTTTGAAACTTTTAATGCTATTTCACATCATTACCCCCATCTGTACGCAAGAGAAGGTAACTCTGTCAAGGATTTGTTTTAAAAATTAAGGCCTTTTATCGACTTAGAATCTTGGTTAAGTTTTTAGTACCAGTCCACTTTTTGACTGAACTGTTTGAGATATTAATTTGAAAGTTGGAATACTTGTTTACAATCATGATTCCCAAACATGTCCAGGAGAAGGTAATTCTGTCAAAGATTTTATTTGAATTATGGCCCTTAACTGTCAATGTTTTGTATTATAGGCAAGCACTAAAAAACTTAAAAAATCTAAAAAAATTCATTCCTATCCACTTGTTCACTTTACCATAAATTATGTCATATAAACATTGCTGTAATATTCAAGGGTATCAAACAACTAGTTCACTTTAAAAATACAGAGATTCTTGTATTGCCTTTTACTGCAAAAACTTTTTTTATTGGCAAGCAATAAAAAAGTCGAGCGCGCTGTCTTACGGACAGCTCTTGTTAAAATACTTGGCACAAATAGTCACTATAATAAGATGATATGTCATGCTTAACACCTGCATCCCTACCTCCAAGGTCAAGGTCGAAATTAGAGGTCAAAAATTAACATAGTCTGTTATTGGGTATATATTGTGTCGATCTAGAACTTTTTCATAGTTCAAGGGATTTTGAAATAACTTGGCACAAATAGTCACAATAATAAGAGGATATGTTAAGTACAACACCTTCACCCAAACCTCCAAGGTCAAGGTCTAACTTAGAGGTCAAAGGTTAACAGAGTCTTTTATATGGTATATTTTGTGTCCTGTCCATAACTTCTTTATAGATCAAGTGATTTTGAAAATACTTGGCACAAAAGTCACAATGATAAGATGATATGTCATGTGTAACACGTGTGTCCCTACCTCCAAGGTAAAGGTCACACTTTGGGCATCAGTGGCCTAGTCATTAAGGTCGTTGACTTCAAACCACTTGCCCCTCACCGCTCTGGGTTTGAATCCCGACAGGGACTTTGGATTCTTTCATGTGAGGAAGCTACCAAGCTAGCTTACAGAACGTCAGTGGTTCTACTCAGGTGCCCGTTCATGCCTGAAATAATGCACGGAAGGGCACCTGAGGCCTCCTCCACCAGTAAAGCTGGAATGTCGCGATATGACATAAAACGTATTCCGTTCTTTATCTCCTCTAGGGTATTACACATTCAACTCAAATTTGACATATAGATACGTCAAAGAAATGTGCAGGTCAATTTTGAATTTTGTCATGGTTCAATGATTTTTGGCAGAGTTATGTCACTTTAACTTTCAAATTCAACTTCATGGAAATTTTCAGTTCCCATTCATTATCTCCCCAACATATTCAACTCAAATTAAAGATATGGATATGTCATAAGAATGCATTGGCCAATTTCGAATTTGGTCATGGTTTGATGATAGCTAACAGTTATCCCTCTTGAACTTTGAAAAAGAATCAGAAATTTTAAGTTTCCGTTCATTATCTCCCCATTGGTTGTACACATTCAATTCAAATTTAACATATAGATACATCTTAGGAATAGGCAGTTCAAATTTGAATTTGATCGTGGTTCAATGATTTTGGACAAACTTACCTTTCTTGAATGTTGGAAAAATTTTGAATTTTCAGTTTCAGCACTCATACTTTTGTGGAAATGTATGTAGTCATTATTTTGGCTACAAATATGCAATATGCACTGAATAATTTTAGTGCATTGAACATTGTATAAAAATATATACATTGTCCGGCCGTAAATTTTTACTTTAAACAACATCTCCTTATAAACCGCTTAGCCAATTTCATCCAAACTTCACAGGAACGTTCCTTTGGTAGTCAGCTTTAAACAATTTGTTCAAAGAATTTAATTTCATGCAGACTCTTGTTGCCATGGCAACCGAAATAAAAAAATTCAAAAAAATTACTTTTAGAAAACCAAAAGAGCTAGACCTTAAATATTTGGCATGAAACATCATCTAGTCAGTGTCTACCAAGTTTTCCAAATAAAAGCCCTTGGGTCAATATTGGCCCCATCCTGGTAGTCATTAATTTCTGTTATTTGTATATAGTAAAAACTTTAATAATCTTGGGAAAAAAAACAAATAGCTAGAGCTTAGACATTAAGTATAAAACATATTCTACAGGATGTCTACCAAGTTTGTTCAAGTAAAAGCCCTGGGTTTAAAATTGGCCCGCCCCAGAGGCTCATTGTTTTTCTCTTTATGTATATAGTAAAAACTTAAAAAATCTTGTTTTAAAAAACACAAAGAGCTAGAACTAAGATATTTAGCATGAAACATCGTCTAATGGGTGTCTACCAAGTTTGTTCAAATGAGGACCCTGCCCTGGTGTTGAAATTGGCCTCACCCTGGGGGTCATTGATTTTCCTTTTATATGTATAGTTAAAACTTAAGAAGATCTTCTTTTAAAAAACCCAAAGAGCTAGAGTGTCTATCAAGTTTGTTCAAATAAAAGCCCTAGGGTCAAAATTGGCCCCGCCCAGGGGGGGAGTCATTGTTTGTCCCTTTATGTGTACAGTAAAACCTTAAACAAATCTTTAAAAAAAACCAACGAGCTAGGGCTATTTATCATGAAACACCTTCTAATGGGTGTCTACCAAGTTTGTTCAAATAAAAGCCCTTGAGTTGAAATTGGCCCCACCCTGGGGGCCTATATACAGGTGAGAGATTTCAGGGCCATCATTGCCCTCTTGTTTTCTGTTAAAGGTCATGGAGACGGTGTGTGTTGTTTCGCCTGTGATGGTGGACTACAACACTGGCAACCGGAGGATGATCCATGGATAGAACACTGTCGATTGTTCCCTGCTTGTCCGTTTGCAAGAATCCAGAAAGGCGATTATTTCATAGAGCTCATTCAGACATCCATTAAAAATCAGGTATTTTTTAAATCTTGAATGTAAAACAGGTTGATAATAACTTTATTAAGTTATCTTTTTAATCCTTAATCTGCTGAAACCGGAAGCCTTTGCTACCAGAATACAGCCAGGCCAGCCTGCAAAACATACATGCCATAACGTCCCGGATGTCCGGGAAAGTCCCGGAAATAAGGTGTCTCTCCCAGAGGTGTCCCGGAGATGATTTATGTCCCATTAAAAAAAAAAATCTTAAATAGCAAGAAATTTTACATTTTTATATAATTTTATTGTCAAGTTTTTAGCTCACCTGAGCATGCTCAGGGTGAGCTTTTAGGATCGATGATTGTCCCTCGTCTGTCCATTCACATTTTGTTGTTAACACTCTAGCGGTCGCATTTTTGCCTCAATCATCATCAAATTTGGTCAGGATGCTTATCTAGTTGATAGCTCAGATGAGTTCGAACATGGGTCATCTCGGATGAAAAACTAGGTCACAAGAGCTAAAAATAGAAAAACCTTGTTAACACTCTAGAGGTCACATTTTTGCCTCAATCATCATCAAACTTAGTCAGGATGTTTGTCTAGGTGATAGCTCAGATGAGTTCGAACATGGGTCATCTCGGATGAAAAAGTAGGTCACCGGAGCTAAAAATAGAAAAACCTTGTTAACACTCCAGAGGTCACATTTTTGCCTCAATCATCATCAAACTTGGTCAGGATGCTTATCTAGTTGATAGCTAGGATGAGTTTGAACATGGGTCATCTCGGATGAAAAACTAGGTCACAAGAGCTAAAAATAGAAAAACCTTGTTAACACTCTAGCGGTCACAATTTTGCCTCAATCATCATCAAACTTGGTCAGGATGTTTGTCTAGGTGATAGCTTGGATGAGTTCGAACATGGCTCATCTCGGATGAAAAAGTAGGTCACTGGAGCTAAAAATAGAAAAACCTTGTTAACACTCTAGCAGTCACATTTTGGCATCAATCATCATCAAACTTTGTCAGGAAGCTTTCTAGTTGATAGCTCGGATGAGTTCAAGCATTGGTCATCTCTGATGAAAAAGTAGGTCACTGGAGCTAAAAATAGAAAAACCTTGTTAACACTCTAGCGGTCACATTTTTGCATCAATCATCATCAAACTTGGTCAAGATGCTTGTCTAGGTGATAGCTTGGATGAGTTCGAACATGGGTCATCTCGGATGAAAATGTAGGTCACCGCCGCTAAAAATAGAAAAACTTTGTTAACACACTAGCGGTCACATTTTTGCCTCAATCATCATCAAACTTGGTCAGGATGCTTGTCTAGGTGATAGCTTGCATGAGTTCGAACATGGGTCATCTCAGATGAAAAACTAAGTCACTGGATCTAAAAATAGAAAAACCTTGTTAACACTCCAGTGGTCACATTTTTGCTTCAATCATCATCAAACTTGGTCAGGATGCTTATCTATTTGATAGCTCGGATGAGTTCGAACATGGGTCATCTCGGATGAAAAACTAGGTCACAAGAGCTAAAAATAGAAAAACATTGTTAACACTCTAGCAGTCACAATTTTGCCTCAATCATCAAACTTGGTCAGGATGTTTGTCTAGTTGATAGCTTGGATGAGTTCGAACATTGGTCATCTTGGATGAAAAACTAGGTCACAGGAGCTAAAAATAGAAAAACATTGTTAACACTCTAGTGGCTACTGTTTTGATCCAAATATCCTGTAAATTGGTCTGAAAGTTTGTTTTGATGATTTCTAAGTCAAGTTCGAACATGGGTCATCTTGGATGAAAAACTAGGTCACACCGCCCAAATATTGAAAAACCTTGTTAACATTCTAGTGGTCACATTTTCGACTCAATTATCATCAAACTTGGTCAGGATGCTTGTGTAGGTAATTGCTCGGATGAGTTCGAAATGGCATGTGAAACTAGGTCACGGGAGCTAAATATAGAAAAATCTTGTTAACACTCTAGTTGCTACTGTTTTGATCCAAGTATCCTGGAAATTGGTCTGAAAGTTTGTTTTGATGATTTCTAGGTCAAGTTTGAATATGGGTCACCTGGGTAAAAAACTAGGTCACACTGCTCAAATATGGATAATCCTTGTAAACACTGTAGTGGTCACATTTTTGACTCACCTGTCATGAGACTTGGTCAGAATGCTTGTCTAGGTAATTGTTTGGATGAGTTTGATGGGTCAGGTGAGCGATCTAGGGCCATCATGGCCCTCTTGTTTAAACTAGTCTAGAATGCTAATAAGGAATGATTATCCCCTTACAGCATTGCAATGGTGACACTAATCCTTTGATTGATCCTTTAGTGCCCCTTCCAACAAACAATTATCGGCAATAATTTTGATCAATTAAAAGATATAATTGTTTACCCCCAGTGGCGAAGGTGTTATACACTGTAATTAACAACTGGCCAGTATAAATTTAAATTCGCCTGCAGGCAGTTATTAACTTATTAGTGGTCAAACACTGAAAATTACCGCTAAATATGAGGTGATGAAATCAGCAAATGTTTCAGGTAAAGACATGGCTAATTGTCCTTACATAACAAAGCGTTAATCTATTCTGTGAATTAAGGATGCCTAAATACTTAAAAAAGGTTGAACAACTGTTAATAATTATTGGCATTTTGTCTTGTTTATGGTGTCATTAAATTTGCAAGTTGTAAATACTGGTAATATAGGTTGTATGCCACTATGTAAATTAAAAAAAAATACGTTTACTGATCAATGCCCCACCTCCAAATGAAAGTGTCCAGGAAATGAGTCTATAAGTATTATTATATATGCATTATTGTATATGCTCTCATTACATACTTTTATGCATGCATGTAAAATATTATTGTTTAATTAATATGCTGTTCGCATACGATTTATTAATAAACTTATGTTCTGTTCTATTCTATAAGTTATGGCATGTATGCTGCAAATCTGTGTAGTTTGACCTTGCTTTACTATATTATAATATACTATGCATTATTTCATGGGTCATTTAAAAGGTTTATATTTGCATAATCTGGTAAGTTAATTTGATCATCATTTTTTAAATGACCAGTTTTTGTAAAGACTGTTTAATTTAATTTTTTTTTGCACACAGCATATAGTAATTGACCCTTGTTTCCATGTGAGGTTAACCTGAAAGGGCAAGTTGGATTTTTCTTAAGTTCTACCTGTACCAATGGCTTCTTAATTTACACACTTACTAATCAATACAAAGTACATAATCTGGACAAGTAAGTGTGACTTAACTATGGTTTCAAGTTATTGCCATTCTCAGCTCTTTGAAAAGGAATATGTTGAACCTAAACTGGCAAGTAGGATATATCTTAAGTTCTATCTATACTTATTACTTTATAATTACCACACTTACTTATCAATACAAAGTACATAATATTGCCAAGTTAATTAACTGTGCCATCCATTTTTCCCAGTTATTAGCTCACCTGAGCATGCTCAGGGTGAGCTTTTAGGATCGATGATTGTCCGTTGTCCGTCGTCCGTCCGTCGTCCGTTCACATTTAGTTGTTAACACTCTAGCGGTCACATTTTTGCCTCAATCATCATCAAACTTGGTCAGGATGCTTATCTAGTTGATAGCTCGGATGAGTTCGAACATGGGTCATCTCGGATGAGAAACTAGGTCACAAGAGCTAAAAATAGAAAAACCTTGTTAACACTCTAGAGGTCACATTTTTGCCTCAATCATCATCAAACTTGGTCAGGATGTTTGTCTAGGTGATAGCTCGGATGAGTTCGAACATGGGTCATCTCGGATGAAAAAGTAGGTCACCGGAGCTAAAAATAGAAAAACCTTGTTAACACTCTAGCGGTCACATTTTTGCATCAATCATCATCAAACTTGGTCAAGATGCTTGTCTAGGTGATAGCTCGGATGAGTTCTAACATGGGTCATCTCGGATGAAAACGTAGGTCACCGGAGCTAAAAATAGAAAAACCTTGTTAACACTCTAGCGGTCACATTTTTGCATCAATCATCATCAAACTTGGTCAGGATGCTTATCTAGTTGATAGCTCGGATGAGTTCGAACATGGGTCATCTCGGATGAAAAAGTAGGTCACCGGAGCTAAAAATAGAAAAACCTTGTTAACACTCTAGCGGTCACATTTTTAGCTCGACTTTTTTTTTTTTTTTTTTTTGAAAAAAAAAGTAGAGGTATTGTTATAGTCAGGTCGGCGTTGCCTTTGCCGTTGCCGTTGCCGTCCGAAAACTTGTACCTGGATCATAACTTTTTTATTACTTGGTGCATTGTCTTCATACTTGGCCACAACAACCCTTGGGACAATACCTTTCAGTAGACCACACTAACCTTGACCTTCATCCATAAATGACCTTGACCTTCAAGGTTAAAAGTCCAATTTTTGCTTGTTCATGCTCTTATTGGCTGTAACTTTGTTATTTTTGAATGGATTGTCTTCAAACTTGAACATAATAATCTTAAAGGATATCCCTTAAAAATAACCAGTCAGACCTTGACCTTCAGTCATCAATGACCTTGACTTTGAAGGTCAAATTATTGAAATTTTCATTTTTTTGGCTATTATTGGCTGTAACTTTGTTATTTTTGAATGGACTGTCTTCAAACTTGAACATAATAATCTTCAAAGATAACTGTTAAAAATATACCAAAAGACCTTGACCTTCACTCATTAATGACATTGTCTTTGAAGGTCAAATTATTGAAATTTTCATTGTTTTGGCAGTAACTGACTGTAACTTTGCTATTTTTGAAGGGATAAACTTCATATTATAACAGAACATTCTTAAGGACCAGACCTTGTTGTTTATCAAACCCAAATTTGCTTGGGCTCTTTAATGACCTTGACCTTGAAGGTTATATTACTGAATTTTCTCAGATTGTGCATTTATTTATTGGTGTGTGTGTATGTATAGTATATGTATTATATATATATATCATTTTTTTCTATTTTTAGAAATTGCGTCATTGTTGCTATTTTTAGAAATTGCGTCATTTTTTTCTATTTTTAGAAATTGCGT